TATACGTTTTTGAAGACAAACGATGCTATAAAAGAATCCGTATCTTATATAAGAACAAAGTACATTTCGTTGACACACTTTCACGAAGAACCTATTTCTGGGATACCGCAGTCCCATGTGGATCAGAAAATAGCCACAACGTAGTACAACTAAACCCTGATGAAGATAAATATTACCTTCTCACCCCATATCCCACATTAATGCAATCACTCAAAAAATTTTCACCAGAAAGCATTCGCGCTATTGCTCGAAACCCAAATATAGACTTACAATCAATAGGAATATATTCAAAGTCAGATATTCAACATCACATTGGAACACAACAATTCCAGGAATTATTAACACAAATGGACACTATACAAAGACAATCAATTGACCAAAACTTACGCAAACTTGCAGAAACCGCAGGATTTGCAGACATCTATACGCAAGACTATAGCGGATATTTTAAAGACATTAAAGATTATATATATCTAAACGGTGAAAAATACCGTCCCCAAGATATATCACCTATCAATATTTTTAGCTTTGTTACACTCAAGAATGAAATTCTTGATTTTCTAGGATGGCCCTATTACATCTTAGAAAAATTGACTATTTTATACGCAATGTTTAACTTTATTGGATTTCTTTTCTCACTTTTAAAAGGAATCTACAACACATGTGCTATACACACACAAGTAAACAGACAAGCAAGTGTAGCACGCATACTATTTGCAGGATTTTTTGGAATCTTTTCTACATCTATAAACAAAATTCTTTTAGACGCACAAATAAAAGAATATAACACAAAAATAGCAACAAGACAGAACACATACGACGAAGAACATAACAATGTAGACACAACACCAACAGAACCACAGTTACCACCCCTACCACATAACCATCCATTATCCCTAGTCCCACGTAATTTTCGAAATTTACACACTATCAAAATTTTAGACCAACCATATCACAAAGTCCCATCCAACATATAATGCCGCACCACTCACAAGATGAAAATACTTATGAACAAATTATAGAACAACCCCATACCACCGCTTTTCAGTCTCAAAATAATAATTTTTTTAGCCCACGATGAGCCGACAACTTGGATCCCTACACCGATCAAATTCCCATCCAACCAACCTCACCACTCCAATCCAAATAATACCACTTTTTGCTTTTCCGCCACCCGATTTCCCCACCAGTAATGTAACATCCGGCATGAATTCCGATACTAATTCCCACATCTCAGTTTTATACTCCATCTCACAACTCAATAACCCGAATATTGAAACCCCCGATGAATTTGCCGACTCTGAACCATCTCCATCAAATAATTTTCACACCAACTCCTCAAATTTTTCTCAACCCAATTTTCAACCCATACTACCAAATAACCCTGACCCAACCAATTTTAAACCCTCTTATGCTTCCCAAGTCACTCCAACATACTCCTCACTTCACTCAGACCAATCATCTCATTCTCCAGACACCCCCCGAATCTCCCCAGAACTAGATAATTTCATTACCCTACAACAACAACCCTACCACCTTGACACCCCAACCATAAACCAAATCTCATCCACAATAGATTCATCCAACCCTCCTACCCCTACACCCTCTTCAATTTATACCGAATCATTAGCACCATCATCCACAACTACTGAATCTTCACTTAGCACTAACAGAGCTTACCGCACTTTTAAAAGAAAGTTCCCCAACCATCCTTTCCCAGCGAAACCAGGAACAGCCCGTGAATATATCAACCATCCAAAACACACTAACACAAAAGAATTTTTAGCTATCACCTTACCCTCATTTCCACAATACACCTTAAACACCCCTCACGACACTAACGAGACACGTAACTTTGTAGACGAATACGTTTTAATGCCTACCCTTCCTTGGACCTCATATTATCATTTTACTAATCCCCTTTGCTTACCTTTATCTAACACTCACATCGATATAGAACGAAATAAGGACATGCTATATCGACTCACTACACCACTAACACCTAGACAATTTACTTACATTGGATATAAAAAATCACTAAAAACACACACTGCACCCCGAGCAAATGAATATACACTAGAATATTACGATCATAACATCATCAGAGCTAACCAAGATCAATTCTTAGACGACGATCGCTTCGCTAATCCACAAATTACCGAGAAATTTTTCATCAAGACACCATATATATTTACACTAAACATCTTCGATCGAAAGTTTGATCACATTATTTCAGAAGCACTAACAGACACACAAGCATACGAAAGTTTTAAAGAACGCTTCCAACTATTTTCACTAACCTTTCATTTCCTTGCACCACACGAAAGAGATTTACACTGCTCACACGATATTATGTTGCGCACTAAACAAACCCACACATATAGTTATTATCGCTTCATCCAAAATCACTTTGACCTACACACACCCTCTAGACAACCACACCATCGTTTTCAATTCATTAATTCCAAATACACTTCACCATTTTTCCTAAATTTCACATATTGTATTAAAGACACTAACCTCCATGGTATTCTTCGTAATTATGATCCCATAACCCAAATGTACATCTTCTGTCCCATCACCAAGACCTTCAACGCCGAAGAATCCCGACCCTTCCTTATCCCGCACGAGTTTGTACAACCTATAGAAATCCCAATTTTAGAATTCATCCACAACACTAAATTCAATCACAAATTATATAATCTAATCCAAAACACACCTTATGAGTTTGCAGTTGGCACTGAAGAACTAACCACTATCAAGGCACTTCAATTGCTTTGGCCACTGCTTCAGACTAAAAATATCATCCGCATCTTAGCTAAACTACTAACAACTTCAGAACTAATTCACGACATCTTCCCCCACGGTTTTTTCCCCGACGACTAACAGGTAAGTATGAATTAAATGAATATTACTAACTAGTTAAAATATTAAAAACTCACCATTCTTTATCCATGTTTTCTTTAGATTTTTAGCCTTCATCCGACGATCACCTACAAAAACCACAAAAAACAAATAAAGATCGCAAATTTCATCAAACAGATTTCAACAATTCTATTAATCTCTTACACTTATAAATTTATAAATTTAATACCAATACAGTAAATTCATTTCTAAAATTTCCCCACAAGCAGTAAATCTAATTATGATGAAAATTTGTAACTTAAAATTCCCCCATAACTAGCAGTAAATTTCCAAATTCTATGTAGTAAATTAATAAAATGCAATTGCAGTACTAACCTTTTGATATTCTCATTCATTCGCACAGAAATTCTATCCACACTCGCACAGCTCGCCCACGAAGAATTGTTTCAAATAATGAATTTCAGTTTCAAGTTTTCACACTCAACAACTCTAACATATAATAACATGTTTCAAACTTTCCTTTAACCCGGTTGGAAAGGAATCATATACTAAACAAAACTAACCAACGCAGCTTACTAAATACCACAAATCATAGAATAACAGCATGACTAAGAAAAGGAAACCAACGGTACCCAAACCGGATTAACCCAGTTTAAAACTGGATAATTTATTCTTTTGAAGACTATTATAAAGTCTAAGAAAGAAATAATAAAACACAAAAAAGTCGAAAGACAAACCCATACCACGAACAATTTGATTTTTGAAAAAAGGACACAACCAACAAAACATAAGAAAAACCACAACAAACCCAACATAAAACGTTGTCACATAACAGGACTTCTCACAAAAACCGCATGCAATCATACTCCCACTCCTGGCCTAACCCACCAGGAAGGACGTCCTGAGCATGCTCTATAGCCGGCCTAACCCACCGTGCTACATCCACGCTTTGTGACCACACTCCTATTTTTAATAAGAGCTACTCAAGGGTGAGTAACTCTTCAAAATAACTGAACTAAAACAAAAAGCTTTTGTGAAAACAACTAACTAAAATCATAATTAAAAAATATTAAACTAATAAAAGTTTTATAAAATGTAAATTACATTATGCAATACATAGATCAGAATACAACACCAAGGACGAACATCCAAAGACAAAACGACCTCACTACACTCGAGAAAGAATGGCCAACTACAATCAATATGCCGCTCACAATCACAACTCAAAGGATTTAGAGTACGACTTGACTTCGCAGAAAAGGACTTCATTGAACTAGACCAATGACCACCTCGATGTTCAAGTATACGTACAGATCCGAGTAACCAGGCATCCCCTCCACGCACAATCTCCACGCCATTCCTAGACAAGGTCAAAACACAAAGAAGTTCTCATCAATGAAACCTGACATAGCCAACCATTCTGAAATCAGATTTGAGTTTGTTGCGAAAACCCAGTCGTTGTCTTGAGAAGACACAACGATTGAATCTGGGACTTCTCTAATAAGAAAACCCAGAAGAAATAAGATGTTCGCCAAATACCAACGTCCATCATCCATCCTTTGAATTGCAGAAAGACTATTCTAAAAAACTCTGTAAAACCCGGATGGGTGGAACCTGATCTAAACTACATTTTATGATTGGATAAATTAGATATTTTACCAATGTAAAGTATTTAATATTAACCAATCATGATCCATCTGACTAACAATCCACTTATTTGTAAGTGCTGAAATTACTTGTAATTTCAGCACCAGAGAGATTTGAATTTAACTTAGAAATTAGTTGGACTCTCCCGAGCACTTCAGCAGCCGCAATAAACCAGTATACCCTAGATCTATTGAGCCTAGCAGAGACTAGTTAAACAACCTGAGACTAGATAGTATAAGAGTAAGATTAGGATCGGTATTAGACTAAGAAGTTGCACGAATCTATCCGGCCGAAAATAAGATAGCGTGACGAGCAGACGGTGTACCCTATCCGAAATTACTCTATGAGTTATACCCTTCGGTCATAACTCAAATTATTGGTCTTTCTGTTAATGTCTGTCAAAAATATAACAACTGCATCGGAAAAGTCAATGTGTAAAATTATGTTAGTTTTATAAAAAAAAGTTTATATGGAAACTTGTAAATCACCTGCGCTTGAAGAAAAGTAAGTAAACCATCCAAGAAAACGACAGAGAAGAGGATGAAGGGTGAAGAAACTAACTCCTAGAAAAGCAAGCATTGCTTCCATGATTCCATCTTGGAACGCCGCTATAGTGTCACTCACAGCCAGACATTTAATGAATGTTTGTCCCGAAGACTTTTTTGTGAAACTAGATGCCGTCAAATAGGCAAAGAAGTTTCCGGCAAAACCCAGAAAGGCGGTCACTATAGTAATAAACTGAAACAAAAAAATGTAAATTAAATAAGATTATCTATTTTTTTTTGACGCAAAGCGATTCCTGCAAAAATGCCTTTTCTTCGGTTGTCTTTTCTTCGAAGCCATATGGATTGATCTAAAGTTTTCAGAGTAAATTAATCTAAAACTTAAACTGACCTGAAAAACTTTGACTGGTAGTTGATATCCAAAATTCATCATTTGTTTTTCTTCACCGGTCGCATTCATTGCCAACAGTAATAGGTAAAATAGTCAAAAAGATTAAATTATTGTTTTATAGCCCTTGAAATTGTTTTGATTCGCCGTAAATATAACCTTTCAGCGCATTTTTTAGATGAAAAGAAACTGGATACCAATTAAACAGAGAAGCCATTGTTAGGAATCAAAAAGGAAAGAATAAAAATTGTATTGAGTTTTCAGAAGAACAGGAATTGAAAATTGTTGATTTTAAGGGACGATTTTAAGGTTATATGTTCGACATTGAGTTTTTGCGAGACTTAATTAAAAGTTTATGTTTTCAAGAAGTTGAAGTAGTTAGTGCTTTTAAACAAAACTGTGTAATTTATAGAGGTTTTTCCGTAGAAGATCAGCGGTGTTTTTGCCAATGTTTGCTGCGTGTGTAATTTATGTGTAAGTGTTCATGGGGGATATGAATTATGATTTTAGTGAAATTAAGCTCCTCAGGTTTTCATATTGCTGAAGATGGTGTTTTTTGAAGTGAGTATTTTGAAAGCAATGCATCACTTGTTGAAAATCAAGATTGACTGTTTCTTTTTCTACATTTCTTTTCTAAAAATTAATTCAGGGATGTTTTTTTATTTTATAGCTAAGTTTAGTTGTTAAATACGCCAATTCTTGAGACTTAAAATTAAAAGCTAAAATTTTTAGTGAAGCGACATTTAATAGTTTTTTACAATTTTCCTGAAAATATTTTAATTAGCTAAAAAAAATAATTTCTCGTATTGACTATCAGAGAAAAAGCGTGGAGCGAATGGAAATTTTTGGTCAAATGTCAGATTTTAATAACCATTCAATCAGGTCTGGAGGCTTTATTTTGCTCATTATTTAGTAAATAGGTCTTTTTTTCCTGAAATATTTCTTGAAGCAACTATTGTGTCTATCTCAGTGCCCTCCAGTGAACATTTTAAACACAACTAACAGTTTTTTTCCGGCTTTAATTACTTTCCCCGCTTGATTTTTGTCACTAGACTTTTAAAAGCCTTATTTAAATTGCAAAAATGATTAGTTTAATGTAGTTCTTTCAAAATATCAGAGAGCTTTTTACTCAGGGACTTTTGTTTTAGTTAGAACAAAAACTGTGGGTTAAAAAGTGACGCATTGGTTTTTTAGCCTATCAGAACATTGCTCAAAGCAAGCTGTTTGTTGTAAATTAATAGCTCCAGTTACCTCAAAATATAAGCATCAAACGTTTTCGTTAGAAATTAGGAGAAAAAAAAGAAAAAAACGATAACGAAGTCGACCAAACGCTAAGAAGATAAATGAGAGCCAACCCTCATCTTGCCTGCCAAACCGTTGTTCGAAAATCAAATCTGAAAACTGTTTATCAAAAAATGCTGAATTTTTTGTTTTCTACTCAAATGATGAAGCTTGATTTTTATTTTTGTCAGAGCTTTATTAGTATCCATTTTACATGCTATGAGGTTCGCTTAATTTTTCAACCCATCGTTATTACTTTATAGTTATTTTTTGACTGAATAAATTGAGCCGAACAAATTTTTCTGACAGACACTCCTAAAATTATTTGACTTTAGCTAAAAAGAAAGCAAAATTAAAATTGTTGGTAAAATGAGCAGCGTTGTTTTTCTTATTGTAACTGATTTATTTCAGCTCATTTAAAAAAATACGTTTCAATTTTCCAATTTTCCTCATTTTAAGAGGATAGTTTATATCAGAACTGTACCAGACAATGTTTGTGAATCCCCTTTTATAAAACTGATGCAGAAAATATTTTTAAATAGAACATTTTTGCTGCATTACGGAGCTTTCCAAATTTCTGTTTTAAAAATTTAAACAAAAAACTTTTATTTGAATAAAAGTGATTTAAAAAATAAATCAATGAAAATTACAATCTTCAGTCAATCATAGAAATACCGTTCAGTTCCAGTAAACTATAAAAATGCGGCCGTTTCTGTATCAGATTGTTGTTTTTTCTTACGATGAAAAATGATCAAGTTAATTTTTTTCAAGTTACGCCTTGATAATAAGAAGCTAAACTTTGCTCTGGATAGGTGCACAATTTGGTGTCTATAGGTTCTTGGATTCTGGAGACAAGTCATTAAACATGGTCCAAAATCTGAGTGGATTCATCATATAAAATTTCACAAATAAAAGTAGATCGTAATGTTGCTCGTTATTCTGAATGGAAATTAATTTATAAGCACCGATTTAACTATTATTAGTGAAATCCAATCAAAATTCCTAATTCATTGTTCAACTAAAATTATGGACGTGCCCCTTTAATGTTTTTAATAAATGAAACTAGCAAGCGTCTTCCATGATCAATCGGCTCGCAAAAAGTTGGTTGTTGTTCTGATCAACCTAACTTAATCAAGTTAAACAATATGGCAAATCGCTCTACAAAATTTAAATTTCATTTAGCAAATTGGTCAGCGAAAGGTTTAGATTTTCTAAACAAACTATGAAAAATTGAAGTATTTCAAGATACGTGATGAAGCAAATTGGTCCGCTAAAAGTTTGAATTTTTCTAAGCGAACTTTTGCAAGCGATAGAAATTTATTTCTTGATAAAAGAAAATTTTTAGTTTTTCAATTGAAGCCATTCAACCTGTGAAACTTTGAATTATTTCAAAATATTTCAAAGACCGAATCTGGCGAAATTTTTAAAATTTTCTAAGATAGCTATTCGAGCTATGAAGCCTCGAAATATGACCAGTTATTTCATCGGATGGCAAAAATTTAAGGTTTTTCTTAAGTTATTCAAATGACAATTCCAATTTTTTTTGAGTTATTTTTTAGACCAAATTGGCTCGCGAAAAAAAAGTGTTTCCAAGCAAGCAAACTTTTCAAGCTAAAAATTTTTGAATTATTTCGAGTTTTTTTTGCAGATCAAATCGGTTCGCGAACAAATCAACTTTCTCGAAGCAAGTCTCAAAACATTAAAAAATTATTTCATGAAGCGAAACCGATGGCAAAAGGTTATTTTTTTGTCTTAGCAAGCTGTTCAAGCTATTAAACTTTGAAATATTTCAAGATATTTTATGAAACCAATCGGATGGCAGAAGTTAGAATTTTTTCTATTGAATTCATTCAAGTGATGATACTTTGATTTTTTTTGAGTTTTTCGTAGACCGAATTGCCATGCAAAAAACAAGTATTTCTAAGCAAACTTTTCGAGCTATGAAATTTTGAATAGTTTTGAGTTTTTTGTAGATTGCATTGGTTCGCAAGAATCATTTTTTTTAAACAGGCCTCGAAATTTTAAAAAATGTCAAGTTATTTCATGAAGCGAAACAGATGGCAAAAAATTAGTTTTTCCAAGCAATCTTTTCAAGCTATGAAATTTTATGATTTCACGTTATATCATGAAGCAAATCGTCCAGTGAAAAGCGTAAATTTCTCTACTGTAAGCTTTTAGGCGGTAAACTTTTGAAATATTTAAAGTTGCTATTGAGCAAATTGGTACGCAAAAAAAAACTTTTCTCAAGCGAGCTATTCAAGTTACAAAACCATCAAGCTTAAAACGAAGCCATTAATTTTTTTTAATTAAAGCCATTCAAATTATGAAACATTGAATTATTTCATATTAATTCATAAACCAAATAGGTTCGCAAATATTTCAAGTTTTTCCTGAGGAAGCATTTCAAGTTCTACAACTCCGAATCAGTTCAAATTATTTCATGGATAGTGAATCGGACGGCATGCAGGCAAGCTACTCACGCCATGAAACTTTGAAACATGAAGCAAATCAGTTGAAGAAAAATTAAGTTTTTCTATAAAAGCCATTCAAGCGATAAAAAATCTCAAGTTATTTTACAGAACGAATCAGTAAGTAAGCTAATCCAGCTAGGAAATTTCGAAATGAATCAAGTTGTTTCATGTAGCAAATGGGGTATACGATAAGAGTTTGAAATATATCAAGTTATTTGATAGTGCGAATTAGTTTGCGCGCAAGCTGGTTTTTCTAAGCATGGTGATTTTGAGTTGATTCGTTTCACACTGAAAAGAATCTGTGAATGCAAAGCTTAAAGAATTTTGAAGATTTTCTTAAATGTTGACCATAATGATTGCTTGCTTTTAACCATTGCACCTTATGAAACTGAAATTCTTTAAAATGTCTGGCAGACAAATCGGTTGGCGAAAGTTTAAGTTTTTCTAGGCAAGCTATTCAAGCCTTGAAACTTGGAATATCTGAAGTTCTATCATAGACGAATCATTTCGCGAAAAGGTAAAGTTTTTCTAGGCAAACTAACCAAAGCTATGAAACTAGAAAACTTCAAGTTGTCTCATAGACTAATCGGTTGGCAAAAACGTAGGGTTTTCTAAGCAAGCTATTCAAAGCTATGAAACTGAAAATTTTCAAGTTGTCTCATAGACTAATCAATTCGCAAAAATTCAAGTTTTCTAAGCAAGCTAATCAAGCCTTTAAATTTGGAAACATCTGAAGTTCTATCATAGACGAATCATTTCGCGAAAAGGTAAAGTTTTTCTAGGCAAACTAACCAAAGCTATGAAACTGGAAAACTTCAAGTTGTCTCATAGACTAATCGGTTGGCAAAAACGTAGGATTTTCTAAGCAAGCTATTCAAACCTATGAAACTGAAAATTTTCAAGTTGTCTCATAGACTAATCTAAGCAAGTTAGTTTTTCTAAGCATGGTGATTTTGAGTTGATTTGTTTCAGACTGAAAAGAATCTGTGAACGCAAGGCTTAAAGAATTTCGAAGCTCTTCTTAAATAATGACTAAAATGATCGCTTGCTCTTAACCATTGCACCTTATGGCAGCTAAAATAGCATCAAAGTTTTTGCCATTAGTTTGAAATATAAGACAAGAAATTCGTCCTCAATAATCAATCGGCTCGCAAAAATTTAGCTCTTGATTTGATCAAGCTGTTCAAGCTATGAAATTTTGATCAATTTTAGCTTACACCATATCGTAAATTAATTTAATTTTTTTTATTTTCAAAAAAACGAATCGGTTTGCAACAAATTTAGGTTTTTCTAAGCAAGCTGTTCCAGCTAAAAACTTCGAAAACCTTCAAGTTAAATCATGAAGCAATTTGGATGGCAAAAAGTTTAAATTTTCCTGTTGAATCCATTTTCTGT